CACTTCGATCCGGCGACCATCCCTAGTTAGCTGTAGTACTGTTTTCAGTGAAGATGACTAATAAATGTAAATTGTAAATGTAAATGTAAATTGTAAATGATCATAAAGCGCCGTGCGGTAGTAGAAATCAAACATTGTGGTCACCAAAAACACTCAATCATTGAACATTTTAACCGACTGCGCTCCACCATACTCCACCATGTTCATCGATCGAGTGGCATATGAACGACGTTTCCGGAACAGGGTCAAACATCCGCTGCGGAGTTTTCAACGGAAGTTGTTGTTTGCCTGGGGGGGGATCGGTCAGGAGAACCCAGTTGTCCTGCAACAACGTGAATGCACGCTAGCGGGATGCTCGCTTTGGTGACAAAGAAAATGTTACGAAAGTTCACTAAAAGTATGGCACGATTGATAAGAGAATTTATTATTTTGAAGGCAGTTCGGCCAGTCGACAGGTGGTCACAAAACCCATAAAACAAAATAAACCGGTTCCATTGAATTCGCTCAAGCAGATCGTGTATGGTTCACCAGTTGATTGCTATTGAAGGGACAATCCGTCTAGATATCCGTCCTAGATCCAGCCTGCTGAAAGCCCTCGGTTCGAGCCCAGTTTAGGGGGTATGTGTCATTTTAAAATGCTTTGAACAGGTCAAGAGCGGCAAAATCGATCAAGCTATTGCTTGCGAACATCTGCCAGTCTATGCTGAACTTCTCCAGTATTTGATAAATCAGCGATGGAGCCTGTTTAATGCCATAAAAAGCGATCGGCGATTTTCTAAGTAGAATAAGTCATCCCCACGGAGGGTACGTCATCTTTGTGAGGAAATCTTCAGATGTGTCGTACTAGGTCGCTGGGGAGGGGGAATCTATTTTGCCCCTGGAAAAAATTTCGCCAAGTCCCGAAAAAATATTTCCAGGTTGTTGTCTTATCTCGCTCTTTGAACTATATAGACACGGTTCTTGAGGAACTGATTTTACAAGTTGATTGGTGCCGACGTGCCTCCCCGTCTCGTGGCAGTTTTTTTAACAACAAGGGGATAGGGAGTGGTAGGAAGTTGGAAATATCAAGGAAGTTAGGTAGGATGGGGAAGAGGTCGAACCAAGGAAGTCGAGGGAGCGGGTAGAAGGGGAGAAGTCGTACTGACATCTCCCTTTCAAAAAGCAGGATGCTTCAACCTGCTCCCAAGAGTCAAACTTCCATGGCCGATCCTAAACTTTTCCGAAACATGCGCACCTTGGGTCTTGTTCGCTCTCTCTGTCGCTCTCTTTGGCGAGCTCCAGCCCATTCTCAACACTTGCTGGAGCGGGCAAGCGACAGCGATTGGTGGAGAAGGGGATGGTGCCTCGTCGAACCCAGCCCTCGCCCTAGAACGCTCCAACACCAGCAGCGAACAAGACTGAACATTCTTGCCGAGATGAGTATGACATTCATAAAGGCATCCAAATGCTGGCAAAGATCCCGAAATAGCAATGGTCAACTTTGATCTTATAACATTCCCTAGGAAAAGAAAAGTTGTTCTCAACATTTATGGCAGGACTTCCGACAGCCTGATAACTGGCAAGAAGACTACAAATATTTATTGACCCGTATAAATCATGCAGAATTATTAAGCAATTTATCAGTGTTGCATCAGTCTATTTTAGTCTTCGAAATGACATTTTTCAATAATTTCCGAATGCAATATGTGAAAGCTGAGATTGTCAGTGCAACCATCATGAGAGCTACGAGGATCACATCAAGACAGAAGTACTCAACAAATCCCATGCGATAGCTGTAACGTACTAGTTCTTTGATTTTCCCATGGACTGCGGAAAATTCGACCGTCGAGAGAAGACGTTCTTTGGGGGAGAATGGTTTCCTTGTCATCAATGACGATAGACGTTCAGCTTTTTGACGATACCTGAAGCACTTTCTTCAACACGCAAGAAGAAGCATTGCCTGATGGCCTGGCTTGGGAGGGTGTTTTGCACCTCCGCTAGCCTGTAAGCGCCTGTGAGGCTGCGAAATGGTATGAACGAGCCACTTCAGTTAGAGGAATTTCGCTGACTTCCCAAGCATTCCCACCAAAGTAGACCATGAAGCTTGCTTCGCTAACTGTCACCATTGCGCCTACAACGCGCTCGGAAATGTCTTTACAAAATTGAGTCCAATATTAAAACTTACACACTGTCTTCTAGTATGCTTCTCAAACTTCTGATGAAGATTTCACTCGTGAAAGACTCCATATAAATCACAATCGCCGAACCCCTCCGTTCTACAAGCTTTGCATTCCTAAATATGTAAAATTACTAGGCTCTCATGTAGAATGTACAACTGTCTGACCTGTGTTGATCACCGAATAGCGGTACTAAAATCGATGGTTTTCCGTTTCGCGTTAGTTCCAAGACACTGTTCAGTCCTGCATGGGATACAAAACAACGTAAGTTTTCGGATGTCCTGAAGCCAGATCAGTATAGTGTGGAATGCAGAGAAACTCTAGCTCCGTGGAAACCGGTCGCGCATGTGGCAGGTTGAACGGCCGCAGCTGCCAGTAGCATGCCTAGACTTTCCGCATGGTGGCGAAAGTATAAAGGAAAGAGGCTGTAGGGTAATGTTACCTGGGTACCGTTTGGGTCTCCGCCCACTACCAGCCGTAAGCCCGACCGTAGCCAAACGCGTTACTTGCCTGCCATCCAGCCACTTTCTAGTTTCTTTTCCACCGCCTGCAATATGGGCTTCAATACGGAAGAGTGCGCAAGCAGAGAATGAAAAGGGCACCCGCGTATCACCGCCTCCAGCCCCACTCCCGTGCACTTTTGAGTAGAAAGTGGGCCTACTGCAGCAGTGGATGGATGGATATGGTGCACGTACAGTTTCTCTTCAACTTAGGGGTTCTCTCTCAACATTCCTTTCCGGTTCCATGGGCTCAGCGCAACAAGCAGAAACGTTCCAAATTCATGCATCCTGCGCCAATGACAAAATTGGACGCCTTTTAGCTTTAGGGATCATATTTCGCTAGCTGCTTTTGTTAGTTCCTACTGACTAGCAGGTTTCATTTTGGTTAGACCTTCGAACTCCTGTGGAGCTGCGGAAATGTTCGACTGACCACCAATGAGACCTACAAGCCTACGTGAATACCATCTGCTGCCTCACCAAAGCTGAACTGCTCCGAAAGTTGCTTCTTTCAATGGAAAAGCTTGGTAGCCGAAACAATATAATTGAAAAAGTTCAATTTTCAGAAATTCAATCGAGTGATTCATTGCTAA